ACCATGAAAGATTAGTTTGAGAGAGTTGTTTAGGCCAAACCCAAATTGTGTTGAGAGTTGCCCAAACCAGCCCAAACCCAACCTCCAACCTGATTTTGTCTTCCCAAGCCTGGCCCGAGCTCAATAAATTGAACTTGGCTAAGCCCAAATTGCCCACAAATTTATAATAGAATAGCATAGATGTAATTTTTATCGAAAAAGCCAAATGGTCAAAGTGTAGTATAAAATACCATTGTGCTATTTCTTGTGCTAAGTTTTGGACAGGAAATAGCATTATGCTATTTTAGCATTATGGTCGAAGTGAGTTTTTTTTTGCTGAACTGTGCTAGTTTAGCAATGCCACACCTTAAAACTTCACAGGTGGAGCTCTAAAGCTCCGTCACAGCTTTCTAAATCTGAAGCATCAGATACTCAAGTGTAGAATTCGGTTCTCATATATATATAGGCTATAGAACCAGTAACTTTTCAAGCAATGACTTCAAGTTAGTTTCATTATCAAAATGATTAAAAAATTTGAAAAACAAGCTAACCTTAGCTTGCAGATAACAGTTCCCAGGGTCAGTAAACTACAATTTATGTGGCAACCCTCCTTTAGCCTGGTGCCAACTGATAATGACTGAGATGCACGCTCACTTCCTGCAAGATCAACAAAATTCTACATAGAATGTATCAAAAAAAATATTAATATAGCGCAACATGGCATATATTAACATCTTAATAACCTTTCAAATTAATCTAACAAAAACTTGACGATCCATACCACAGCAGCTGTAAGGGTGCTTAAGTAGTCCTTGACTAGAAATTGCCGAGCAGAACTTTCAATTGTCAGCAAAAACCCATTCATCAATTCAATGGAAAGAACAATAAGTTATGTTTAGAACAATCATTCATGAAAACAACATTCCTACCAATCTGATTATTTGATGAGATTTGGAGCTTGTTTCATTCAGGGCAGTTTCCCCTATTTGTCTTTGAGCTTCATGAATGCACCAAGACATTTAGAATATGCAGTCACGATCATCTAGTAAAAGTCAGATGACTAGAGAATATCTTACCTTCGCAGATGGAGAGGAGTTCCATTACATTATTCCAGTCCCTGAGAGGTTCCTCTGTGAGTTTCTCAGTAACTGTCCCTCTCTGTGAAATAGCTAAGAATTAAGCATAATGGAAAAATATCAAATACTAATTATTTAGTCGACCAAGAAAGTAATTGACCTTGGGATCATCTAGAAGTCTAAGTGGAGAACTATCTGTGCTGAGGAGGTCCCTGACAGATTCATTGTAAATCTCCATAGCAGAGAACTTCAAAAGAAATTCTCTTTCATTGTGCTGCAAACAAAACAAACATGTAAACAACGAACAGTTGAAGCCTAAGAAGCATAGGTACAAACATGCAACATGACACAGATACACGCCGACGCTGAAAATTTTCAAAAAAGCAAGACAACACTTGTGTGACACATGCAAAATATATAGTTTTTTATGTTTGTATATGTGATTTATTATATATATGAATATTTTATCAAAAATAATAATTAAGAAAATGAAGCATAACATTAATTCCTAAAGTTTCGCTAATAGGCATAAAACTATATTGTTTTCTTTTAAACTTATAATGTGTTTCATGTGTGTCTAAGAGGTGGATATGTGTGTCCTTCAAGTATCCAAAGCATGTCAGGTCCAACACGCATTGAGAAGTGTCAAATGAGTGTCAGTGTCCGACATAGACACGCCATCTTCTTAGAAGTGTTGGTGCTTCTTAGGTGAAAGCCCAAGGAACATAGTACTATAATAGAATGCAAGAACATCAAGTAGTGAGAAACAGTGAATATCAGTAGTTTCTTAATTACCTTCTCTATATAATCATAAATATCTGCGATGGCATACTCAGTAATTCCCGTCATCGTGAATGTCTTCCATTATATAAAAAATGTGGTTAGCAATATTTATTTTTTGGGTGCGAGTTACTAACCACGTTCTAACATAATTTGGGAATAAAGTCTGTTCCACACTATTAATTTAATTTTAAATAAATAAATAATAATGTAAAAGAATTAAAGAACCTAAATTTGAACCCTCCTGGGAGGAACAGTTGTACAAGGAAAACTCCAATAGAATCGGCTAAATGAAGAAAGAACAAAAATGGTTTCCTGTTTTATCAACCACAGCAAATGTTGCAGATTTAGCTCAAATAATGGCTCAAATTCTCTCCCACAAAAAATAAAAAAAAAATACCCACATAGTTTAACACAAACTTCTAGTCTTGGATCTTAATTTGGATAGAGAATTATGAAGCAAAGAGAAAATAGAATGAAAATGTAAAAAATAAAATAAATTAATTTATACTTCATCCATTCACATTTCACCATCATTTCCTTCTCACTCCACACATTACTACCCAAATCAAATCAAATCAAAGATCCCAACACAGTCTTAAATTTAAACACTCAAAAACAACACAAACACATAAAAAATTCACACAAAAAATGAAGAGAAAAGTAAATTAGCATACCAAGAGTGTAGGCAGTTGAGTACATGGAGCGAACTGGAAGTGGAAGATTA